CTGAAAAAACAGACTCCTACCTGTCCAGAACCATTTGAGAGGAAGTGGGGCCAGGTTAAGAGGCCACCAAAAGCCATATGGGTATAGGGCCCCCAGCATCAGCCACCTTCTTGTGCATAATAATCCCTAGAGCAGTGCAGCAGAGTCGTATCACTGTCTCTATGAGAGGGATGAGGCCCCTGAGGCTCAGAGAGACAAATCCACCTGTCCGAGGCCACACAACTAACCCGGTCTTTCTGGCTGACTGTGCCTTCCATGCCACTGGCGAGGCTTCCCTGAGTGACCCTCGGTGTCTCTCCTAGGACCAGGAGCTGGAGAGCCTGTCGGCCATTGAGGCAGAGCTGGAGAAAGTGGCCCACCAGCTGCAGGCGCTGCGTCGGGGCTGAGGCACGAGCTGGCAGGGCTGGCCCCGGGGCACCCTGTGACCCTGGCTCTGCTGTCCCCTTGGCAGGCTCTGGCCAGACAACCCGGACCCTGCTTCCGGTAGGTAGGCAGCCTCCAGCCCACCCAAGCCCAGGCCACCCTGTCGCCTGCCACGTGCCCCGTCTCCTACTCTTGACCCCTCTCTGCCCTGGAAGGCCCTCTGTAGGGCAGCCCCACAACTTTAAACACTGACGATTCCTTCTCTGAACACGGGCAGCTTTCTAGAAGTTTCCCTTCCTCCATCCTATCCACTGGGCACAACTGCAATAACTTCTGACCTTTTGGTGAAAGCTGACAATTCCTGACTGTAACATATTCTGTATAAAATTTATCTAAAGAAAAAAAATAAATCTGTTCTGGGCTCTTTCCTCTGAATTCTTTCCCCTCTCAACTCAGCGTGGAGTGGGATGCACCGGATGTGGGCGGAGGGACCGAGGGAGATTGCTTCCACCTGGGGGACTCCTTTCCTGGACATTTTCTGGCTGTGGGATCTTGAGCAAGTGACTTTGTAGCTCCGACCCTGTTTCCTCATCTGTAAATCAGGAATGCTGACCTGCCTCAAAGAGTGTGTGTAGGGATTCAAGCACACTCGCTGAGGGCCCCAGGCTCCTTCCTCTCCCCGTCCCCAGCCACACCCGACTGGGCCATGCAGAGGTAGGGCCAGGTAGGGACACGGGCTCTACTTCCTGAGCCTGGAGTTACCCCTCCCTGAGGGTCCCTGCCGTCCAGTCACCTGTGGCGCTGGGTGGAGGCCCTGATGGCCCCAGCCTAGAGCCTGTCGCAGGCCACAGGCATCAGACCTGAGCCTCTGAGCTGCGGGCCCCCAGATTAAACACTTATGCCCTGCTATGACTTACTGACTTACTGTCTGCATAGGAGTGTGGGGCATCTGAAGATCTCAGGTATGTAACGCTTCACTAGAGCACAGGCTGGTCTTAGTTCCAGTTTTGCGAATGAGGAAAATGAGGCAGAGAAGGTGAAATGATTTGCCCAAATCACAGGCAGGGATGATGCTCAGAACATAAAAGCATGGGGACTGTGAGGATTGCAGTCAGGACGCGTGGGTATTGGCTGAATATCGGGGCCCATCATTCAGTCACTCATCAAACATTCATGCAGGGCTGCTCTGGGCCTGGTATGGCTGAGCATGGCTGAGACAAGCCCTGGCTTTAAGAAGCTCACTGCCCAGCGGGGTCAGCTGGACCCTTCAACAGCCAAAGCCACCCACGGGGACAAACATGCGCTCAGCAGGAGGAGGACACGCCCATGCTGGAGCACGCCCCTTGTGGGCCAGGAGGAGGGGAGGCTGGGTTCGAGCCAGGCTCTGCTGGACTGGCTGGTTGGCCTAGGCCAGTCACTTTACCTGTCCAGGTGGCAGCTCTACGACGAAGTCCTTGGCCTTTGCAGCTCAAACACGAGCAAGCTGGAGAGGGTGATGATTCCAGGCAGTGGTGGAGAGAGTACAGGGAGGGGCCTCAGCCTTCTCAGGGAGGAACAGAAAAGGCATGGGCAAGTGAGGCTAAAAGGCATCTGCCACCCTCCAGGGGCCCGGGCAGAGCCAAGTCCAGAGGCCAGTTGGGTTCTGGGAACCAAGTCCCTGAGGCCCTGCCTGGTGAGTCTGAGCAGGCAAGACTCCATGGTGGGAACTCAGGTTTGGACCTAGGACTGGAGTTGGACTCCCCAGCCTAGACATTAACTAGCAGGAGTCTTCCGGCAAGCGCTCCTGGCCCTCTCAGGGCCTCAGTTTCCTTATCTATAGAAGGGAGACGGTACTTACTATCTCCTTACCAGATTACGGCGAGGACTGGGAGCCCACACAGCATGACCCAGAAAACCACTGCGATGGGGTTGAATCATTTGGGGGGTCTTGGCAAGCCTGGGTTTCTCTGATGAGAATGGGCTGCCCATGGTGGCTGATGCGCACCCCACCCCCTACCCCCTGCAGAGCACGGAAGGACCCCCTCCGAACAGCTGGTGCTATTTATTTCTTCATGTTCCAAAAAGTTAGGGTTACATTCCACCCCGACAGTTACAGAAATAAACACAACATTAACTGTACTCCACTAGACCGTTAGAAATCAAAACAAGATGAGTTAGTAAATAAAGAGATCACAAGGACACCGTGTCCCTGAAACCACCCACTCCAAAGCCACCCACAGTGTCATAACCTCGTGAACATGTGGCGAAACCGGAAGAGCCAGTGGGCAGAAGCCGTGATGTCTGTACCTTGTGCACAGTCACGTATATTATGCATATGTATGTACACAAATGAAGCACGAACCAGCTTGGGAGTCTGGTGAAGTTGCATGAGAACAGCTTGAAGCACATGGCATTTGTCACAAAGCACAGGTGCATGAACAGCGGCATCCTGGTGAAATCCCTGTGAGTGGCTTTTCAGAGTGAGCTTCAGAGAGGTGTGATTCCACACAGCCTTGGAGGAAGGTGGTCACCAGGCTGTGGGAGGGAACAGTCCCTCCACACCACCAGGTCACAGATGACTCTGGAAGTAAAGGGAAAATGCAATCATTTCTGAAAAAGTGAGGGTCTGGGTGCTTTCGCTGGTGAGAATCAGAGCTGCAGGAGGAGGCCATGGGGTCATGCTCACCAGCTCTCTCCTGAGCAGTGTGGGAAGGTCGCTCACCCCAAACCACGCTGACACTGGCTGTGCAGAGAGAAGGGACAGAGTGCACAGACCCTTTCTTACAAGGGGAGGACCCACCGGAGAAGCCTTGCCTATATCACCTGTGTTGGGCTTATGCCTGGGAGGGGCAGATGACTGTGGCATCAGGGTGTGTCCAGGCAGGCCTGAGGCCTCGGAGGCCAGGCAAATCTTTGTCAAGGATGGCTGCGCTTCTCGGCCTCCTGGTCACCAGGCTGGAGGGGACATGCTCCTTTAGGGCACCCAGCACCCAGCTCAAGGTTTCTGAATCCAATGGCCCACGAGCCACAGCTCAGGAAGGAGGAGCTGCTGGGGATCCCACCAGGTGAACGATCAAAGTTTCTAGGGAATAGAAGAAAGGGCAGATACAAACCCCAGGGATATCAGTGAAGCCATTCAGTGGTTGTGGCCAGCGGCCAATGTGTCCAAGAGCCAAGGATTGGTCTCCCAGGCTAGAAGGGCGAAGGACAGGCTGGCTCCCGTGGTCTTGGGGGTGGCTGGCTGGCAGGCACCAGCTGCTTTCTCAGTTGGCTCAAACGTGTGACAGCTTCCTACCTGGGTTAGTCTTCCAACCTTCTATAAAGCACACTTGGCAGTCCCCTGGGTACAGTCCCAGGTTGCTTTCTCCTCCGTTGACAGGCATGAGACATAGGCAGGCCCATGCACAGGAAGCCCTATGGAACCCGCCAGGCTGTAGCCAGGTCTGATCCCACTGGCCATGCTGGGTGACTGCAGGCCCAGCTCCCCCACCACGTGTGGACCCAGACGCCTCCATGACACCAAAAGCGAAGCCCCAGTTCCCGGTGGGGACACCCAGCAGCTGACACTCAGTGGGGGTTACATTTGCAGAGTCACAGCACCATATCATCAGAGAACTGCCGGGCAGAACTTGACCCAAAGCCTTGGTCCCAGGGTGCCCAATGCAGACTGTGCAGGTGACCCTCTGAAACTACCCAAGGCCTCAGCCGAAGTGTGGTCCAGCCCCCTGCTCCCGGAGCCCTTTAGCAGCCTGTCCACGGACCACCACCAAGACACACGCTGCAGGGCCACAGAGCCAACGTGCTGACCAACTCGGAAACAGAAGCTTAGGAACAAGAGCCCCAAGCCACCCCAATGCTGGTGGGGCCAACTCCAGGCACTGTGCCTGCCCAGCACCACACAACCCCCTTTGTTAAGTGGGTCCTGCCCTTGGACCCAGACACTCTCATGACTGCTCGGGAGGCAGCACTGCCATGCCCCAGGGAAGAGGAGGCCACCAGGGCCCAGGTGGTTTTAGTGGGTCTCTTTCCCTGAAGCAGAAACTCCAGAGCCAGGGACAATGCAACCGAAGGGAAGATCAACCCTATGGACACTGTCATGGGATCAAAGACGGTCAGTTCACACCCAGGGAAAGTTTAGTGAACAGGGCTCCAACCCACTACGGAGGCCGCTCCCAGGTGTGCAGGTCCCGTGCCACTGTCCAGGCCTCTCCTTGCCGGCGTTCCCTTGGCTTCACTGGGCAGAGTCCACCGGCCCTGCAGGTCCTGGGTGCACTGGCCTCTCCCTACCCTCCACGTAGCTCCCAGGCCTTTACAAGACCAATCTCCATCCTCCATTTCCACTCTTGGAAAATGCAAATGCCCCGCACACCTGCACCCCCACATCCCTGCCCTCACCCCACCATGGAGGCCTGTGGACACAGCCACGACACCAGATGGCAGTTACTTGGTATCTGGGACCTGGACGAGCGAGACCACGGAGGCCACAAACATACAGGAACAGTGTGGCCAGGAGTCACACTGTACACCCCCACCGGTTCCTGAGGCAGAGTGGGACTGAAGTTTTATTTTTAAAAGGTAAAGCTGTTTTATTAAATGTCTTTTAAGGACTGGGAGAATGACATAAAAAACTTAAGCAACATGTGTAAACACGTGTGAAATGTGGTTTGATTTCAGTAGTTTATTTTGGAGACAAAGCAGTGCAAGAGGCCGGCCGCGCTTTCCTGCTTCCCCGGGGCTCAGGGTCAGAACCAGGAAAGGCGACGTACAGACATTGATCGGGGTTCAACACTCAAGTCGTGTAAACGTGGTTAGTCATTGGGTCCTCAGTTTCCAAAAGAGCCAGGCAGTTCTGATGGCTTCTGCCCCTCGCCCAAGCCCTGCGCCTCCCTCCTCAAAGGGGGCACACCTCCCGGCCTGGCTGAGCCAGGCTGAAGGACCCCCACGCACCAGCTCAGAGACCTCTCTTGGGACACTCGGCATTCTCTCCAGTGTCCTCCATCTCACTGGGCAGAACACTGCCTAGAAGCCTTTTTCACTTCTTCAAAGTAAACTGGTGTCTTAAGACACAAAACCATATTCAGGGAGGCCTAATGCTTCTCACCCAGCGCTCCACGTCTTCCAAGGACTACGGAGGCTCCTCTCCAACCCTTCTCTCTGCAGAGGGGACTGCCTGGACCAGGGGTCAGGCAGGAGAGCCAGTGCTTTGCTGCCAAGGCGATGGGGTGAGTCTGAGGTGTGCGGGAGGTGTGGCTCCCTGGTACCTGGCTGGCTCCATGCTTGGGGCTTGCAATGAGAGGTGGACCAGGCTTGCTGGGTGAGGGGGGACCCAGCAGGTGTGAAAAGGAGTGAACCCGCTGGGAGAGGGCCCTGATCTCCACGGAGTCATGCTGAGGCTCCCATGCCTGTCCTCACCCGGGTGGCTTCATGGAGAGGCAGGCTGCATCCCAGGGGTTAGAGCAGAAAGCCAGCCCTGTGGTGCTCCCTGGTCTCAACTGCCTACTAGAGACGAGGGGGCAGAGGCCCAAAGACCTGGAATGATTTGCCCAAATCACAGTACAAATCCTCGGCACAGGTGCCATCAGCTTGGGGCTCCCAGCCAGGCAGCCTCCTTCCTGGGCTTCTTCAGGGATCGGCAGTGCTGGCTTGGGGGAAGGAGGCCGCTGTGCAGGGCTAAGTGGGACATGTGTTGGAGGGCCTGGAGGACGCCCAGCTTCCTTTCCTTCCCTTTTGTGAGGGAGCACAGCCCAGATGGCAGCCTCCTCCGGCTGTGGGGAGGGAGGGGTTATCTGCACACCTGGCAGGGGTGGGGCTTACAGAGCCTTGGTGGAAATCAGGAGGAAAAACAAGGAAGGGGCAGGTCCGGGAGCAGGGAGTCAGGGAGAAGGGAAGCCACTTTCACGCATGCTGATCAGCCACCCACAACCTGGCATGGGCAGGTTTCCCTTCAGGGTCCCCACAGGAATGGTCCACAGTGGCCACAGAGCCCAACAGATGGGGATGCGCAGATACTCACACGGCAGCCACACACACCCCACCTCCCACTCAGACCTAGTGTTGAAAACACAAGCATGTGTAAACTCTGGAGATGTCTGCACAGCAGGGATCAGGTGGAGCCCCATTCCCCAAGGCTGGACCCCTGGTGCTCTCTTCCATCTCCACCCACCCTCATTCAGATCATGACATCAGAAAATCAGGTTAAAAATTAAAAAACAGAAGAATCAGATCACTGGGGATTCTTAGTAGTAGCATCACTGTCTGGAGCTGCTGGCCCAGTGGGTGTGCTCCGCGCCCTGCGCCGCCCCTCTGGGTCCCGGCTCCGTGGCTACTGGGAGGAGGCCTTAGTGGCCAGGGAGGCCACGCAGTGCTGCTGGAAGCTGGGTGACACGCCGGTGGTGCAGCCAAGTCTCTGGTGCGGCAGCTTGGTGGTGCCGCCTGCGTCGGCCTCGGCCTTCCAGGGCGTGTCCTGGCCCATCATGCTGCTGCAGCAGCCGGGGCTGGCACTGCATGTCCGCTCACCCGCCAGGCCGCCCGCCGGCTCGGCCAGGAGCTTGCTGTGCCTCAGCGGGGCCACGTCCCCTGCAGCTGCTGTAGCTGTGCTCTGGCCCTGCAGGACGGTGGCGATGTGGTTCAGGAGGTCTGTGAAGAACTCGCTCACACCCTCGTAGCCTAGGGGTGGGAGAGAGAGCACAGGGGGCATGAGCCAGGGGCACACATCGTGTGGAGAGGTGGAGGAGGCAGGACACATGGGCTCCCGGGATGAGGCAGGGCGTGCTGTCAGCACACGATTTACAGAGAAACATGAGGCTCAGCAGATAAAGGGTGCTGAGGGAGTCGCACAGCTTGGACGCCCAGCCAGGGGCATGCTCCTTGACCTTCGTCTGTTGTCCAGGTGTGAGAAGCTGAAGATGAGCTGTGGAGGAAACATGCTTGCCCCTGTTCTTCTTGGGCACAACTCTACTGTCTCACCCACCCACCCACTTGTGTGGTAAAAGCCAGTCCATGTGCAAGGGATGTTGGCAAGGCTGGAGGTGGCAGCACCAAAGCCGGCTCCACACACTTGGAAAAATAAATACCCCTCGACTGTGAGGCCCTGCTGAGTCCTGGAGACTGCTTCCACCCGGAACCTCAGCATCTCTGCAAACTAAGAAGAGCACTGCCCACCTCCCAGGTGGAGGCTGCTGTGGCGCCATTGAGAGGGGCTGGGAGGGGGGTGGTGCCTGCTTCACAAAGCAGCTGCCACCCCAACTGAGACTGCTTCCTTCTCACCACAAAATACCTGCAGAGAGGCCCTCTGTGCTCCATTCTCTGAGGATCAAAGCCAAGGGACAGACACGCTGGGCATCACCAGCATGATCCAGGCCTGTGACAAGGCTCCCCAGCATAGGACACATGCTCCCCTTAACAAAGGGGAGTAGAACAGAAGCCATGGTGCCTGCCTGGGCGAGCGCTGCCCAGCACAGCTGCAAACATCACAGAGTCCATAGGAACCACCCAGCAGGTTTCAGATCTCGGGTGAGGATTCTGCTGACTCCCAGAAAACTGCTCCAAAAGAGATTCACCCAGGGCGAGTGCCCCGTCTGCCTGAGCCAACTTGGAGGGATGGGAGTTTTCAGACACGCTGGCCTGCCCTCTAGGGTAACATTTACAACCATTGGTCCCACTAGGGTGGGAATGAAGGGTCAGACGTGGACACCCTGTGCCACCTCTTACAGAAAGGCCTTTCAAGGAGTACCCATGGGTCTGGCAGAAGAGGCTGCTGAATCTGCCCACACCCTCATTTATTCAGCAAACAACTGCTATGGTTGGAGGACACCCAAGTCTGAGGGGGATGCAGGGGTGCCCACAGTGGAAATAAAGATGGCTATGCTGGCTGGCACGCAGCGCCTCCCGAGACAGCACCGTGCAAGCATCCTGAGACCTCGTCTTGCCTGATCTTCATAATCTGTCCCCATGATACAGATGAGGACACGTGACTGTTAGCCAGCATGGCGAAGGCGGGAATGACGTCCATGGTGTTCACAGCACTGGGGAAGCAGCAGCCGCTGGGCTGTGAGCACATGGTCCTCGGCTTGCTGCATTTCTGCAGCCCCCATTTCACAGGTGAGGACACCGAGGCTCAGTGAGGCTCCTAAGAGGCAGAGCGAGATCTAAAGGACGCCTTCGGTCCTGCGTGTGCCTTGAATACCACATGGTGCCAGGTGCCCCACCATAGGACCAGGGGTGTTCGTCAGCCCTGGGCTGAGGCTGGAGGGCAGGGTAGGTGTCCCAGGCATGGGCATGGCTGCTGGGTGCCTAGGGAGAGATGCGGCAGAGGAGCTCCATCAGGTCAGCACCACGGAACAGGGAGCTGTTCCCCAGCAACCTCCACCATCATCCCCAGACGAGGCCCCGGCACCCCGGGCAGGGAGGGTGCTGTCTGTGGTGGTGCAGAGGCAGCTGCCTCCCCAGAGGGCTGAGGATAAACAGGAGCTCAGGGAGTGGACTGAGGCGTGAACCCGCAGGGCAGAGTGGCGGCGCCATACCAGCACTGCAAAAGCCATCTCCTCTATCTGCAGGGTGGGAAATTGGTTCCCATTGCAGAAGTGAGCATTGAGCCTAAAAAGGAAGAGGCCAAGATTCGAACCCATGGAGAGATCCCAGTGGGCCTTTGCCCATCACCTTGTGAGGATCAAGTGAGGCACTGGGGCAGGCCTGGCTCACGGTGTCATCAGCACATGCAGCTGTTGCTGTTATTACTCTAGAGTCAGTGTGCCAGCCCCTCTCCCAGGTGCTGCTAGACACCCGCGGTCCGAGGGCCCCCCTGTGGGGTAAAGGAGAACAGGCCTGTCCCTCTGCTTGGCCCCAAAAGGCTACTCTATGCTAAGGCAGGCATACTGAGCCATGTCCTGGGGAACTGGCTCTGCCCTGCCTGGGTCCTGGGCATCCCCTGAGCACCAGGCTCCCTCACCAGGCTCCGCCACAGCCCCATCCCATGTGGGTGGCCCTTCTCTTGGCTTCCCTGGCTCCCTGTCCACACTGGCTCATCGTGCCCCACATTGGCTCACAAGGCCATCCCTTGTCTACACCCACAGACTGCGACCATCCACACATTTTGTTTTGGGGGCACTGGCCTTGCTCAGGTGCAAAGCTTCCCACCCCCTCCTGTCTCCTTCCTCCTAGAACTTCCCTTCCAACAGGCCTCCCTGTGCCCCTGGCCCTTCAGCCATAGGTGCTGCCCCCTTTTCGTTCTGTCACTCAACACGCTCTGTGGTTTAGATTTCACACTTTGTTATCCTGAATATCCCTTGCACCCTGGTTCCCTCACATCTGCACAGCAAAACCCCATGAAACCTCAGCTCTGGCTAAACCCGTGGTTTCCTCCCCACTGCACCCAAGGGCAATGGAGAAAAACATGATCGTCCCACGGGTCTGCCCTTCTGTTCAAGAGGACAGAACTCATGGTGGCTGCTTCCCAACTCCCAGGGTGAGCTCCAACGTCCTCAGCTCACCACACGTGCCTCCCCTGACTGTCCTCCACCCTTCCTGCCCCACAGCTGCACCTGCTGTAGCCACAGGGCTCCGCAGTGCCTCTTCTGGGACTGACTCTCTGCTCCAGTGTCGCTGCCTCACAGAGGAGGCCCCCTCGACCGCTGGCTCTGTCCTCCACCTCCTCCCAACAGGGGAGAGCTCTTCCCAGAAGGGGCCTGGCAACAGAGATCACATGGCACCACCAGCATCTGGACCAGCTGGGACACACAGCAGCCTGGGTGACAGCAGCCCTGGGTAAGTGCTGACTGAATGACAGGAGCAAGTGTGCTCCTCAGAGCCCTGGCTTGCTGGCTGTGACCTGTGCTGCTGACTGCACCTGCGCATGCTCTCAGAGGAGCAGAGGTGACACACACAGAAAGTGTCCGGCCAGTGCATGGGGCCATGGTCCTGCCTCACACTCATGACAAATACCCTGGAGTCCCCACCTGCCAGGCACAGTCTCCGAAAGCAGGAAGCATTTCCTGAACACTTCTGCACTGCAGCAGCTAACGAGGCTGGCTTCACTCCCACAGCAGGTGCTTACTATGGGTCAGGATGGAGAAAGGAACAAGGGACCCCCATCTGAGGAATGGTGGGCACCCAGGCATCAAGCACGGCTCTACCGCTGAGTTTCTGTGGGAGGTGAACAAGCCACTGAGCCTCGGTGTCCCCAGAGTGAGGCATGCAGCCTGGTGACTGCGTGGTGACATCATACCATTGTCTCTCATGCCCTGTGCTGGGGCTCTGCTACTGTGGTCCCCACAGGCCCCCTCGCTGAGAGCTGAGGGGCACGCAGCAGAGCCTGGCTTAGTGCCAGTGGGTTCCTAGGGCCCAGCTAGGAGCAGGGAACCAGACACCATCGCTCAGGGCTCCTCCCCAGACCTGTGCCCAGTGCTGCAGTTCCAGGCTGTTGAGGCAACCTGAGCACAGGAATCTCTGGCCTGCCACCAAGGTGCTATAGGGCCTGGACGGCTGCCTCCTCTCTAGGGCCTCAGTTTCCCAATACGTAAACTGCAGGGGGCTGTAATCCCTTCAAGGTCCTTCCTGCCCCTAAAATAGTGGAGGGCTTGGGGGAGGGGCTGATCTGCTGATGACCCAGGGTGGAGAGAGGAGGTGAGGGTCACACGTGCTGCGGCCATTGAGCCTGGCGCCCCCAGGTGGACGTGGGATCTCCCCCTCCTCACACACCCTGTGAGCCCATCCCACAGGTGCTGTTGAGGTTTCTCAGGGCTGCACCTCCCAGACCCCGCAGTGAGGGAGGAAGCCAGCTTTCAGGCCTTGGTCACCTCACCTCGCCTCGCCTGCCTGGTCACCTGAGGACAGTCTCTGGAGACCGGCCAGTGGAGGCGGCCCCGCCGCCACTCACCTGGGAAGGCATTGATGTCAATGACGGCGTGTTGCCCCGTCTGGTTGTTGATGATGATGTCGATGCCAAAGAGCGACACGCCCAGCGCCTGCCGCAGGGCCCGGGAGAGCTCCCGGATGACCTCGTCACTCGGCCTCTCGAACACACCCTCGATCTTGTCCAGCTGCAACATACACAAGGAGGTCAGGCTGTGGGCCCAGGAGCTGCAATGCTGCACTGCACAGAGAAAGCCCACGCCAGGCGCCATGAGGCCAGACAGACCCACTGGTGAGCACGGGCAGCCGCTGGCCAGGTCCTGTCCTCTAAGGGCTGGCAGGCACCGGGTGTGTGAGGCTCATTACCTCCTGTGGGCTCATCACAGCCTGAAAGGCCAGTGCCAGCACTGCCCGCTATACACAGGGAAACCGAAGCTCAGAGAGGGTCCAGGCTGGTCCAAGGTCACACAGCTCAAAAACAGGGCAGAATTTGGACGCACAATTTTTAGCCTCTAAAACCAAAGCATTTTAACAGGGAGGAAGGAGATGTGGAGTGTGCCGGGGACCTGGAAAGACATGGTGCAGAGTACCGAAGCTGGACCTTGAAGGCAGGAGGATATGGGCCCCTGGGAGGGGTGGGAGAAGGAGAGAGGCCCCAGAGAGGACACAGGGGAGGTAAAGATGCAGAGGCCAGTAGCTGCAGATGGCTAGGAGCAGCCAGGATGCAGCACCGGGGCAGAAGTGAGGCATTCTGATCTGACCCCCACTTGCCCACCATCACAGAGAGCCCCAAGGCGGTGAGGGAGAGGGCGAGGGCGAGGGCGAACGCTCTGGGGCCTGGCAGGCCAGTCTTCCTTCCCAAGAAGTGCTGCTTCCAAATGAACTCACACCCCAAACAACGTGGGCTCCCCAGAAGCTGCTCTGCTGCCTCCTGGGGTCCATGCACTAGTCAGGCCACCCTGCTCAGGTCTCCCTCCCAGCCCTGTACCCCCCATGCCACTCATGTCCTGTGCTGGTTGCAGCTGGCCTGGGACAGGCACACACATCGCCATGGGCTCAGCCTGCCCCCAGCCAGGGCCTCCAGGGTAGTGGGGAAGGATTCTGGAGTCACGGAGACGTGGGTTCCAAACCTGGCAGTGACCTTCCAGCTCTGTGGACTCAGGAAAAAGCACCTGGCCTCTCTGTGTGGGGTGTGCTCTTCTGTAGAAGAGAACCTACAAGGCCTCATCTCAGACTTTAATGATAAGGTGGAGACAGTACGTGCCTGTCTGGGAGGAGATTCCTCTGAATTCCAGGGCAGGAACTGCATTCTGTCTCCTCTAAATCAGCCAAAGGAGGGCTCGCACAGGGTGTTCAATAAAATATTGACGTTCTAGGGGTTGTGGGCTTAGGGGCCAAAGGGAAAGGAGTGGCTAATCCATGAAAGACAAAAGTGGAGCTGGGTTCAAAAGCTGAACATGGACTAACCACCTGACCCGGCAGTTTTGCTCCAGGGTACACCCCCCAGAGCTGAAAGCGTGTACTCAGATGGATGCTGTCCACCCACGCTCACCACGGCGTTATTCACAACAGCGGAAGGGTGGGAACTACCCCAGTGTGCATCAGCAGATGAAGGCACAGACACTGGTCTACCCATATGATGGGATATTGCTTGGCCATAAAAAGGAACGAACTTCTGACAGATGCCACCCTGCGGAGGAATGCTGAAACATCATGCTGAGTGAAGGAACTGACACAAAAGGTCATTTACTGTGTGACTCCATGTCTACAGAACACCTACAGGTATCAGCAATCAGCTCAGTGGCTGCCAGGACCAAGGTGTGGGGGGAATGGGCAGGGAGTGTCAGCGGGCACAGGGTTTTCTTCCCGGTGATAAAAATGTGTTGGAACTAGATAGAGGTGGCGACTGGATGACAGCTGTGAACGTTCTCATCACCACTGAATTATTCGCTTTAAAAATGGTTAACCTTATGTATGTGAATTTACCTTAATTTTATTTAGAGACAACGTTTCACTCTGACACTCAGGCTGGAATGCAGTGGTGTAATCACGGCTCACTGCACACTCGAACTCCTGAAGTGATCCTCCTGCCTCAGCCTCTGGAGTAGCTGGGAATACAGGCGTGTGCCACCATGCCTGGCTAATTTTATTTATTTTTTGTAGAGACAGGGTCTCATTATGTTGCCCAGGCTGGTCTCAAACTCCTGGTCTCAAGTAATCCTCCCTCCTTGGCCTCCTAACATGCTGGGATTACAGGTATGAGCCACTGTGCCTGGCCCACCTGAATTAAACAAACAAAAAAAAAGTGTAAGCAGGTCAGCAGGGCTGGGGACAGAGCCTGGTCACCAAGAATAATGGCCGTTACCCAAGCACAGGAGGCTGGGAACGTCCAGGGAAGGACGTGCTAAGCAGGGACCCACACCCGGGCACCACCCATGCTCTGAGGCCTACACTAGCGCATCTCCCACCCCGGCTTGGCAGGGCAGGCAGGCCCCCTGCTCACAACCGCAAGGCCTTGGTGTCTTGCCTGGAAAACATCTTTTCTAGTGGATAGGAGTGGCCTGGCTGTAAGAGGTGCTCACCCCTTAGCACTTTTCTTTATTTTTCCTTTTGAGGCAGGGCCTTGCTCTGTGGCCCAGGCTAGTGCAATGGCAAGATCACAACTCACTACAGCCTCGACCTTCCAGGTTCAAATGATCCTCCCACCTCATCGGCTTGAGTAGCTGAAACTACCGGTGAGCAACACCACGCCCCGCTAATGTCTGTATTGTTTTGGTAGGGATTATCTCACCCTGCTTCCCAGGCTGGTCTCAAACTCCTGGGCTCAAGTGATCTGCCTGCCCCAGTGTTGGGATTACAGACATGAGCCACCACGCCTGGCCATTGAGCACTTTTCTGAGCCTCCTGGGTCACTCTTGCCAGTGGGGGCCAAAGGCTAAGCCCAGTGGTGCAGCTTGGCCACTCGCCCTGCAGCCCAGGGTCCTCACCAAGTCAGAGAGACCCTGGTGGACACCTTGACGCTCCCCATTCTCCACTGTGTACCCAAGCCACAACAGAAACCTTCTGGGCCTTGTTTTCTTGCCCCAGTAAATGGGGAAATAGAGTATCTCTGCTGTGAGATTGTGGTGCTGGTGAGAGGGGTTGCTGCCTTGGACTCACAGCACAGGGCCGGCCGCAAGGGAGCTTGGCTGCTGCACTGCTGCATGGCCCGCGGCATGCCGTCTACAAAAATGCTCTCAGCTGAGTTATGGAATCTCAGAAATCCTTCCCAAGTTGTCTAGTCACCCAAAACCAAATAGCCGTCCATGGACAAGATCAAGGCATGGAAATCCTGCCTGGGGCCCTAAAACAAGTGATCCGATGACTTTCTGGAGAGCAAGGAGGGGACAGAGGAGCTCGGAAGGCGTTCCTGGACCCCAGCGGGCCTCAGCACCTGGCCGCTGAGACCGTGCTTGTACCGCACACCTGGCACTGTGCTGGGTGCTTCTCACCCAGGACCTCCCCGGACCCCGGAACCCTTCGAGGACAGGAAGAAGAAACCAAGGCTCAGAGAGGCGACACAACTGGCCTTAGCTTGGGCCTGACCCCAGGCAGTCCCATCAGAGTCTGTGCTCTTAACTGATAGCCTAGACTGAATTTCGGAAAGTAAAGGATGTGTGGGGGCCTGCAGGTTAGGTGTGGCTGGGCCCATCCTCAGGGAGGAGGTGCTTTAAGGCCAGAGCAGGGCTTCCTGCGAGAGACTCCCAAGGGAGGCCAAGGCAGGACTGGAGGAGCCCCAGGTGGTCAGGGGCCGGGGGGGATGAGCAGCACATGTGTTCCCGTACCTGGGAAGAGAGCTGGCTGGGTCAGGCCAGCCTGTGGGCATCTAGGAAGGCTGACCTCCCAGTGGAAAAGGTGGTGCTGACCACATTTCCCTTTCCTATTTTTAGAAGTCGATGGTCCTGGCAGATTCCTGACTAGCAGCCATGCACTGCAGGGAAGAAGGAGGCGGCTGCAGACCTCAGAGGCGAAGGGAAAGGCCCTGCAGTGTTTCTAGGCTGACCCCTTCCCGTTTACAGATGAGGAGACTGAGGCTGAGGTCGACAAGGGATAATCCAAAACAGTGACTTCCAGACGGTCCCTCTGCCATCATGGCTGCTGGCCCTGCCCGTGAGAGGACACTCAGTCTGCAAATGCTGACTGCCCTCTGTCACACGGGCTGCCGAGGCCCCCAGAGCAAGACCGTGGAGAGAAGAAGCCCTATGATTCTGAAGTTTAGAGGAAAACCATCTCTTGCACAGAACATCTTATAATAAGCTCAGCCAGGCACTGAGGCTCTGTTTAAAATCTGTTCCCAAAGCCTGACATGTTCCCAAGGGACATCTGTCAACATCTTGAGGGATAGTGATGTTCCCTCCAGGTCCTGCCCACGCCTGTGCTCTGTCTAATCCTCAGCACACAGCTGGCTCCTCAGAGGACCCAGACACAAACCACAGACAGACAGGCCACCTGGGTCCTGGGTCAACCTCCAGGGACACAAGCACTGTGGCTGGAGTGGAAGCTGGCTTGCTGGAGGCTGGAGTGGCGGCTGGCTTGGTGGAGGCTGGCTTGTTGGAGAGGCTAGCCCAGGACAGGGAGAAGGACACCAGCAAAGCCCCCCAGAAGAGCAGGTGCCCTGGCAGAGGGCTCTGAGTTTAGGGAAGTGGCCACTGGATTGCTGGACTTTGGGGAAACAGCAGAGGGTGGCCTTTCCTAAATTCCCCAGGGGCAGGTGCTCAGGAATCACTGGGGAGGTCAGAAGTCCTAAATTCCTAGAAGATCCAACTTTGGAATCAGACAGATCTCGGGTCCAATCCCAGCCCTGCACCCTGTGAACAGCCTTGTGAATGTGAAAAGGTCACTGAGCCTCCCTGATGCCAGGAAGCCTGGCTGCGACCTGCACTGCAGGGCACCTGGGCTAACACTGGGCACAGCGATAGTCACTGAACGCCGGCCAGGACACCCGCTACCCATAGTGCTGGGGGTGGGGGTGACACTCCCACCAACTTTGGGACCACTGCAGGACAAAGAACTGAGATGGTGCTGCCTCCATGACCTTTTCAAAGACCAGGAACAAGGCAGAGTAGAGAGCAGTTTTCAAATTCCTCACGCTGGGAGAAGGGTCGGCACACCTTCCATGCAGGCAGCTTGTGGTGAGTGGGCCCTCTCTGCAAGCCCAGTGTGCCCCTCACCTTTCCCTGTGCTGGGTCAGGGTGCAATGGCTGCCAGCAGGCAGGCCTGAAGCCAGCAGAGGAACAGAGGTCTCTGGAACCTCCCAGGGCCCCTGGCACAGAGGCAAAGGTCCTTCCCACCCTACCCTGCTGCAAAGCTCTGTCAAGGACCCCATGGCACAGCAGCTCACACCCAGGCCCGGGGGAGGGTGGTTTCAGGCCAGGCCACCCCAGCGGAGGGACCCACCTCCGTCAGGACTGATGACGACTCCGGCTTTGACACGTTGTGGCTATTGAAGAAGATGGATTCGCGGTCTGAAAAAGCGACAGGAAGGAGCGGCGTCAGAACCTCAAATGCAGGGACCACACTGCTGTCACCCAACACCAGGGGGCAGCACCACCTCAGGCACGCACCATGCGGCCCTGGGCTCTGCTGGGCACCAGCCCCGGGTACGGACATGTGCCCCATCAGGGCCTCTGGTTCACCTTCTTCTCCCACATAAAACTGACCGACATAATGAGCTGACCTCTGCTACTGTCTCACAGCATCACATTGGGTTTTCCCTGAGGCTCTGTTCCCAAAGTGTCCTGTCACCATACAGGAACTGGGGGAGAGGGGATGGGTAGGTCCGTTAAACACCTGAATATCACGGCCAGAGAGAGCCCACAGTACTGCAGTCTCTCAGAGCCTCCAGCCCACAGGACTCTCTTTTGGGGAACATGCTAGAGAGACAGGGACAGGCTGCCACGGGCACGTGAGCACTCAAAATACAAAGGGTTCTGCTGGTTCTCGACGTAGGGAAAAAACAGGAAATCAGAGAACGCAGGCTTCCACAGAATCCATCCAAGAAAGCACACAGCACAGTTTCTCTTTGGCACCGGAAGCTGGCACAGAGAGTCTGAAGTACCCTCACCCCACACGTCTGGCTCCCACCTGCCTCCCACAGCACCCGGCCCACACAGGCCCTCTGGGGACCCGCAGAGACAGCCCACTCCCATGAATACTGAAAGTGCAAGTAGATCCCACAGTAGAAACGTCCTTGGGAAGTAAACCAAAGTCACTCGGGGGCAATGTCAGGTTGGTAGGTCCGAAACACACTGGCAGGCACTGGGAAGCATGGGCACACGAATGCAAGGACTGCAGAACCATGAGCCTCGGGCTGAGTCCTGGAAAAGGCTGTCTGTCCCCATCCCATGACCTCCCCAAGGATGGCACAGGACTGTCCTGGGCCACCAGCCCCAGATGCCCCTCCTTGAGTCCTTGCAGGGCGAGGCATTGTGGTTCCTGCCCCCAGAATGCAATGTACATGCCTGGGACCCAGGTGTCTTCATGCAAGGACAGGAGGGCACTGGCCGAGGGCTGCTGTGTGCAGGGGCCAGGCCAATGGGGCGCTTGCTCTGGCTGCCAACGACCCCTCCAGCTCCAGGACTCTATAGCGCCGTAACAATCATGCATGAAGGAGTGATTCGGGATGAAGCTAAGCAGGCAGGCTCTGAGGTGTACCTGGCATCCTTCCCACTAGCGGGGCACAGAGGCCCCTGGCTGCCCTTGTGTGCCCAACAGTCCTCCTGCCACTCTGACCAGAGCCAGTCCAGATAGGGGGCACGAAAGATGGTCCTGGGGAGGAGCCTGGGGAAAATGAACACCCTGAAGGACATGTGTCATGTGGCCCCCATGATCTCTACTCCTAAGGCACCAACAGCCAAGAGGGTGCCTTTGGGGATGGCATAAGCCCCATGGGCCTGAGGCTGGAGCAGGCTCGAGTAGCCAGGAGGGGAACACTGCCCACCTTCTCACCCTGCAGCCCAGCATGGCTCAGCCCTGAGCTCAGGGCACTTTCCCACCTATTTTTCCCTGCAGATCCCCAAGAGCAGCTGCTGAGCCGCAGAGCAGGCCCAGGGGGAGGAAGGGCCACCACAAGCAGGTGAACAGAGCGAGGATCAGGGAAGCTGCCAAGGCTGCAGGAGCCGCAAGGAGAACACGGGCTGAACAGGTGCCGGGAAGTGCTAGACCTGGGCATGCAGAGGGGCCGGCCAGTGTCTGCGGACTCGGACAAACCATGCAACTCAACAGCTTCTCCTGGCAGCAAGAGCCACAGATCAGGCCATTTCAAGAGTGCCTCTTTTCTCCTCCTGGCTGTTTTTATTTTTTTGAGACAGAGTCTCACTCTGTCACCCAGGCTAGAGTGCAATGGCCCAATCTCAGCTCACTGCAACCTCCGCCTCCCAGGTTCAAGCAATTCTCCTGCCTCGGCCTCCTGAGTAGCTCGGATTACAGGCACCCGCCACCATGCTTGGCTAATTTTTTGTATTTTCAGTAGAGATGGGGTTTCACGTTGGTCAGGCTTGTCTTGAACTCCTGACCTCAGGTAATCCACCTGCCTCGGCCTCCCAACATGCTGGGGATACAGGCATGAGCCACTGTGTCCAGCCCTCCTGGCGAATTCTGACCTGGGCGCTCTGGTCACTAGCCCATTTGGCAGGGCAGTGAGAGATGCCCTGGGCTCACTGCCTCTCCACGCACAGTCTGAGCAGGGGTCAGAGGAGTGGGAGTGGCCTCCGGCAGCCACCAATCACCCAAGAGATGACGGGAAGCATCAGGGAAAGAGACTTGGTGCCCAGCTCCAACGCAGCTGGCTCCTCTAACATCCCAGAGCAGGGTGCTGCTCCTGGCATGCAGTGGCAAGCCCTTGCTCTTGGGAGCACCCTGGATTTTGGGTGCCCTGTGCAAATCTGTTCCTAGACTAGCCCAACAGCACCAGCAGAGAACTACCACCAACGCTCTACAGGGAAGGAGCACCATGAAAGGAAAAATGTGTGTTTTGCTTCTCAATTTATGAATTCAAAAAAATAGGTTTAAAAGAACAATAAATAAGATCAGCCCCCAAATATCCCAGCAACTCAGCAGCACAGGCATAAGCAAGGGCCACACTGCTTTTAGCCTTATTTGCTTCATCTCGTATCTCTCTCGGGGGCGAGGGGAATGGGAAGAATGTGTCCCCATGCTACAGATGGTGACCCAAGTCACCTTCCAGTTGCCACATGAGTGTCACCTCTGCAGAGGGACCACCTGAGCTGCCCTTTCCAAGTGGCTCTCCTCACCCAGTGGCATCCCAGGACACACTCTCTTTGCCTTGGGACCCCCTATCTCAGGCCACAGTTGGCCCTTCTACTATTTCTCTCCTTGTGTGCAGTTCCTCCCACTAGAACACAGGCTCATGAGGGCAGGAAGCCGGGTGCCTATCTAGTCACTGAATGGACTCCCAGCAGCTCAAGCAGGGCTGGGCACATGGCAGGTTTGATAATTGCTATATCACTGACTCTTAAGAGGCTCTGGAGTGGAGCTCAGCAGCCTACAGATGGTAGCCCGGCCACCTGCGCTTGTAAATGGTTTCACTGGAACACAGCCGTGCCACTCATTCACATGTCCACAGCTGCTTGCGTACTACAAAAGCAGCATTAAACAGTTGTGATGGAGCTGGAAATGTTTATAATTTGGCCTTTTGCAAAAAAAAAAAAAAAAAAAAGAAGAAGTTTGCTGTCTCCTGCTCTACATGGTAAGAGAAATGAGGTCCAGGCTGGAGATGATAAGGGAGGGAACCTGCATAAAGCTGGGAGCCCGTGCCGCATCCTCAGGATAAAGATGAGTGAGACATAAACCCACTACACAGAAAGGGGGAGCTCAGAGACCCTCCCATCTCTTCCCTGGCACAGGGTAGAGGGAGAGCAACATCTCTCCATGAATGCCCTGCATGGGCAGAGAACACAAATGTTCCTAGTGGCTGGCACAAGACACAACCTGACTTTAGTTCCTGCCAAAGCCTCTGCACGGGTGCCACTGGCTATAAGGCACACTGGATTTGAGACGTCAACACGTAAGAAAGAAAAGTGCAGCTGAAAAGCAAAAGAGACTAGACTGGCAGTTGCAGAGTGAAGATGCGTGTCCTTGTCTCTATCCCAGGTCCAGAAAAATCCCACTCAAGGACCTGCCATCCCTGCGTGGCCACAGGAAGCTGGGGGACCTGTCATTTGGCAAAGGAAGCTGGAAAGCTGGGATGGGGGCTGGAAAGAGGCCAGAGCTCCTAATCCCCTTTCCAACTGGTCCAGCTTAAAGGGCTGCTGTTGCATGATATTTCTTATCCAGAAGGAGAACTACACATAAAAACCACAGAACCCACGTTAGTTCCCTGGCACAGTGCCCTGGAGACAGGACACAGAATCAGCTTTGGCAATGGAGAGACACACTAAGTTACTCAGTTCACACGAACATAATAAACAGCTCTCCTTCAGCTCCATGTGTTTCTCTACTATTTGGGCTTAGTCTGCTTTTTTTTTTCTAAGAGGCAGGGTCTTGCTCTGTCACCCAGGCTGGAGTGCAGTGGTGTGACCACAGCTCACTGCAACCTTAAACTCCTGGGCTCAAGCGATCCTTCTGCCTCAGCCTCCTGAGTAGCTGCAACTGCAGGTGCATGCCACCATGCCCAGCTAATTTTGAAATGTTTTTTTTTCTGTAGAGATGTTTGACTGTGCTGCCCAGACTGGTCTCAAAGTCCTGGCCTCAAGCAATCTTCCCACCTGGGCCTCTCAAAGAACTGGGACTACAGGCATGAGCTACCATGTCTGGTCACCTGGTCTGCATTTTATGGCAAACTGGCAACCTAGAAATGGCCAGATGAGAAGAGGCACAGACAAGGAGTCCTGTCCTCACAGATACAGGACAGGAGCCCGCTCTGCCACTAATGGTTCCCAGTGAAGAGACAGCAACTTGCCTAGCATTTTGCAACCAGGAGGAAAAAGGAGAAAAGAAAAAACTAAAAAACCTAACCACACCTCCATAAACTTCCTTTAGGGATGGAGCGACTGGGGTAAACACAGAGAGAAGTAACTCCTCTTAATTTATTTTCCATAGACTTTAAGCATTATTTTTTTCAAAATCAGGGAATAAAGAGCATTTTTAAAAATGTCAGCCTCTACCAGCCCATCACCTGGAGGAATATCTTTTGGTGGTATACAGCCACATATGATTCCAGCATTTGGCTCCCACCCAGTTGGCGGGGGCTGGGGCCAGGATGTCCCAAACCCTGAAAATACAGCCTTGAGTCCGGGAGCCACATGCATGGCTGGGAAGGCCACCTGCCCTCAAGAGGAAAAGGAACACCTGCACGTTTCCAAAGCCTCCACTCTCTGTGTTGTGTCAATTGAAAGAGAAGAGGCATCTGGGGGAAGAATGGCTGCGAGGGGCGACCGTAGCAGCTGCGCCTCCTCCATGAGGAGCTGGACACTCTCCAGGAGGCATGGATGGCCACAGGCAGTCCCTGGAGGAGGACGCCAACAGGACACATCTGTCAGCTCAGGTGGAGGTGAAGCAGCTGGTGTCTGAACGTTTCTGATGGATGTGGGTCCCCCTCGCTGGAAGAAAAGCGCAGCTTATTTGAACAAACCACAGTGGGGCAGTGAGTGTTTGCCAAGGGGTCCTCGTGGAAAGCCACACTTATTCCAAGACACTGCCACTCTTCCAGAGGTGTCCCAAATGTGCCTTCAAGATGCCTTCAGAAGCCACAAGAACATTCTTTCAAGCAGCTCCACTGCCAGCAAATCTTTAACTCAGTGTCCATTTTTAAAATGGCTGAGGCTGGAGATGGTGGTGAGCAGCCGGCAGAAGGAAGGTCCCTCAGCACAGCAGGTCCGCAGGCTGCTCCCTGGAGGGCTGCCTCCCAGGCCCAGTGACAACAGCACCATGCAGAGAGCACCCTACGTGACACCCACAGGACCCCTAGACCACCGTCCACTGACTCAAACCCCACTCACTGGCACAGTGGGAGTCCTGCACCCAAGAAGACCTGTGACCCGGTGGCTGCTGCTTCTAACAGAGCCTGACTCACCCTGGCAGCTAGGCAGGCAATGGGCAACTTGGTCGTAGGCTCCTCCAGGGGGAAAAAGAGACCCAAGGTAAAGATGGCTCAGCAGGAGACAGCAGCCAGCACCCGCCCTCACTTCCCTGGAGGCCAATCCATGCCACGCCAGCCACACCTAGCCCAGCATGTTTCTCCATGAATCTCATTACTGTGTGGGTCCCAAAGAAGCGTCCTTGGGACAGAACACTTCCAGATGCTTCCTGGAGTCTGTGGTGGTTCAGGTGGATGGGTTCCCTACAGTGATGCAGGGAACAGGGACATTTTATTTGTTCCCCAAGACTTCTTTATCTATCCACTGCACACAACTCTTTCCACCTTCAGAGCACCTCTCCATCCCATCAGAAAGAACATGGGGTGGCGGGGACAGTGCCGAAGGACAGACAGCTGCTGCCACATCCCAGCTAGGCTCCGGAGTCTTGCTCAGCCTGAGATGGTGAGAGGAGCGGTTACCTGATGTGCCTGCGGAGAAGTTCTTGAGCGAGGGCCTCTGGACCACAGTGTAGGACTCGCCCACCACGAACACCTTGTACAGGACAGCGTTGTGGTTGATGAAATTCTGGACCACGCAGGGTGGCTGGATGGCATTCAGGCCCTCCTGGTTGAACACGATAGCCATCTGGGAAGACGAGGGGTCAAAGGCTCTGTCAGAATCCACCACCCTCTCAGCCCCCGACCTGTCCAGCACACTGCCACCAAGGTCCATCCCTGGTCCCAGGGCATGAGGACTCCCCGAGAGGAACCTCAAGCCAGGGTGAGTGGAGAGGGACTCACAAAGAACACCTGGGGATGCACTGCGGGGTTGGAGATCTTGCCTCCACCAGGCCTGCCAAGTGCGATCGAGCTGGCTGTGGGCTGCATGACTTCTGAGAGTGTGGAGCCACTAGTCACACTGTGGTCCAGGGAAGGGGACTCCTGCGGCTGTGTGCTGCTCAACCCTCTGACCTCCTAAAGGATCCTCCACAAAGACCCGGGAGGAGGGGGAAGGAAGCAGATGACTCAAGTGCAGGAGTCAGGAGGCCCTGGGCCAAAGCCTGTATGAGGACGACGGCTGCTGCCTCTTGTCGAGCAGTTGTGACAAGCTGGGCCCTGTTCTGAGCACATACATGAGATACCTAGTGTTCCCCCTCATAATGCGCCTCTGAGGTGAGCATACAACCTCTCCCTCTCACACATGAGGATGATCAGGTGCTGAGAAGTTCAGTGACTGCCGGAGAGGGAGCGAGCCCAGGATGGAATTGGGTCTGCCCAGCACTCAGCCTCGCCCCTATACACCGAGCCGCACGACACTCCGCAGACAACAAGCCTGTGTGCTCCTGGTCCCTGACTCCTCTGGGGACAAAGGTCCCTGACAGAAGGATCTGGTAGGGGCTGAGGTAGGGAGTGCAGCGGCAGCTGCCAAAAACCTCTCAGCCGCAGCCAGCATGGGCTCTGCTCGGGGCCTGCTCTAAGGACGGAGGGGTGGACACAGGCCCAGTCGATCCAGCTGCCGGTGCCAGGGTCACGGCTAATCCCTCATCCCGCAGGGCCCCAGGAAGGAGCCACCAGACGCCTGGGGCTGGTGAGCAGGGATAATGAGCCCTGGACAGCTGGCTGCCTCCCCAGCTGCCACCCCTCACGTCAGCTGTCACGGATCGCCGGCCCTACGTGCCTGGAGCCCAGCTGGGCAGGACAGACGTGGAAATGCAGGCCACATGGGAAAAACAAAGAGTGTGTGTCTGTGCTGGGAGCAAGGGGGGCGGGGGCGGGCAGTGAATGTCTCCTCAGCCTTCTGACAAGAATAAAAGACAGGAAAAACGTGAGCAGCTCTGGAGTCAGGCAGGGGCTGGCGTCCCTGCTCGGCACTTGCTGTGTGAGCCCAGGCTGGGCCCCCACCCTGCTTAAGCATCACTGTTACCTCTGTAAAATCATGGGTGGCTTCAGGGGTGCTTTGAGCTTTTGGGTATTATATCTTAAAAAAAAAAAAGACAGATTCCACTGTGGAGCAAATGAGTACCCTCGCACTGCCTCAAAAACAAAACAAAAACCCAATGGTTCTGTGAACATAAAATGAAGACAGAGTGGTTCGGTAGAACTGGCCCCAGTCTGGGTTCAGTCTGGGACTGGGAGATTCAGAGGCAGGGAGTAGGTGGGCTGGGATGCAGATGAGGACCCCCAATCAGAAGCACCAGCTACCTAAAGCCAGCCACACATGGTGCTATCCTCCACCCCCACTGCACTCAGCTTCCCTGGGTACCCCTGGAATCTGTGAGGATCTTGTCTACCTCTACCCATCTGGTGGATGGTGTCTACCCCAGAGGGCACATCCCTGTGATGCCAACACGCTCCGTCTGCACACAAGAGCCCACTTAGGGGTCTCTGAGTGCATGGGACGCAGTGGCACACATTGCTGGCAGTGGACCAAGAGTGCCTGCTGGGGAATGGGGGGAGGGGTCCCCATGGGAACATCCTGGAGCCAGATGGCTAGAATGAGGGGTGATATATAGCTTCCCCTGAGTGTGCTGACCCCATACTTGAGGACTGAGAGTCCCGAGGCCCATCAGGGGCATCTTGAGAGGGGGCTCACCTGGATCCATAACCCTCATCCCCTTCAGCAAGTACCCAGCAGGGTCCAGGGCAGCTGGTTCTGAAGGCTTATCCAACAGTCCACCAGGGCAGACCCCGGGCAGCCCAGGCATGGACCCCTCATCCTTCACAGAAGCCACTACGTCTCAGTAACAAATGTGAATGGATACTCTGGGTGGCTGGGTAATTTGCCAAAGTTGCACAAACAGCAACACACAGCACCAGAATTGGTCCCAGGTCTGTGGGATTCCCCAGCGCGGCCCCTCAGGCCTTAAGTGACTCACAGAAGCAGCTCCCTCCCCCTGGGCTGCCTGGTTCTGAGTTAGGCTGATCTAATCACACTAATGACTGCACTAATGCTTCCATCAGGTAAAGCCCAAGCAACTGACACACAAAGGAACCATCGGGTGGTGAAAAGGGGCAGGTGGAGGGCGGGCAGGCAGGTACTGGGGCTGGGGGGGCCTGGGGACTGGCACTGCTGCTCTTGAGCCTTCCTGCTTCATCCCTGGCCTGGCACATCCTGAAGGGTGCCCTGTGCCCCCCACCACTGGGCACAGAGTCCAGGCAGGCTACAGCTGGGGGTGGGAGCACCCACAGGAAGACTCCATGAGGGCTCCTGATTTCAGAAGACAACTGACAACGGGACGACGAGCTGTCCCCACACTCGTTCCCATGACGGCACGCTCCGTGCTACACCGGCAGTGTCTACTGATGTTTCCCCATAACTGTAGGCCAGGGATAAAGAGCAGAACGCAACCCAGGGAAGCTCCACGCTGCTGAGTCTTCCATTTTAGTTGTGAGCTCTGGGGGGCATTTCTGATGGTGGGGCTTTCCAGGGACAGGCCGTCTCCAGGGAGCCCACTCCGGTCAGATGGCTGTTGCCCAGCGTACCACCACATGTGCCCATGCGAAGACCCCTGGCGGGGCTGTGCCCAGGGCAAAGGCAAGGCCCCAGGTGTGGCTCCCGAGGGCGGAGTGGGCCCCGACCCCAGGAAAGCCGCTGCATGACTATCTGCTCTTCTTGCCCCTGGAGTCCTCACAGTCTCCTTGGCTGTCTCTAGGGACAGGACTGACATCCTACACATCTGTCCCCTTGTGCCCATGGTCCTCAAGGTCGTCGGGAACATCCATAGAGTGAATAAAAGCATGAATAGGTGTGTGGTGAACCGTGAATCAAAGCATGCCACAGGGTTGATTCCAAGCAGCCCCCTTTTCTTCCCCAGCCCATCTCAATTCAGCAGCACGGCAGACCCCTGTGGCAGTGACAGAGCCTTCTCAAAGCTAACAGCCCTCAGATGGGTCCAGCCTAGTGCCAGGCCCTCGAGGAAATGACACTGATGGCCCAAAGGACAGAAAGCCCTACAGGGCGGGCCAGGTTGGGGCATGACCTGGGCAACCTCCACTATGGACTGAACATGTGGCCCAGAATTCATACTGGGAAGCCCGCGCCCCACTGTGGTGGTATCTGGAGGTGGGGCCTTTGGTATTTGGAGGTGGGCCCTCATGATGGCATTAGTGCCCCATCAGAAGAAATCAGACAGCTTGCTCTTGCTTTCTGCCCCTCCTCATTCACACACAGAAGAGGCCATGTGAGGACACGAAGGTGGCCATCTGCAAGGTAGGAAGAGAGCCCTCATCAGAAACTGACCCTGCTGGCACCTTGATCTGGGACTTTCGCCTCCAGAGCTGTGAGAAAATAAATGTGGCTAAGCCACCCAGGGCATGGGGCTTTGATATGGCTGCCAGAGCTAAGACAGGCTCCATGGAGGACAGGTGGGTCCCCAGCACAAGCTCCTGCCTTGGGGACAGGACAGGCCTTGGGGTGAGGGCACGGACAGTGTATGAAGCCACAGCACTCCTGTTCAATTCCTCTGGAGTCCGGAGAAGGGAGGGAGGCTGTCTACAAGGAGCTGGGGCTGATAGCAGGGCAGGAGCAGTGGCAGTGAGGAATCTGGCACATGGAATTTGCCAGGGTCGCAATGAGACACGATGAGCTGAAACGATAGGGGTCCGGGTGACAGACATTTAGATCTTCTTCCACTCACCTCGTGAGAGTTGGTGCCGTGAGCCACTCTGGTTTTGCAAACTATGGGTTGGGGAGAGAAAAGCAGAGAGAAATTAGTAAGAATATTCACCCACAAGTTAGGGGGACTTGGCATGTCTAGAAAAGAACTCTAGCTGAGACACAGACTCTGGACACCTGATATCTGCACTTGGGGTGATGTGGGCAGGCACCCCCGGCCAGGCAGGAGAGCATCTTGCCCTGTGTCCTGCACCAGGACCCATTTCTATGATGTAGGTGGAGGTGAGACCCAGGGCCACGCCCTCATCCATCCTGGGTGAGCTTAAACCCAGAGTGGACTGTAAACTCCGCCCTGCTCCCCCTCCCCCCACCCCATGCTGGCCCACGGCCTGCACTGCCTGCCCTCGGGTGGAGCTGGAGTGGTACGCACTGAACGGGAAAGCCAGGCCGTTCTTCTCCAGCAGCCGCATGGTGTCGTCCCCACACAGGCTCGTGAGCTCCATGAAGGGCGGCGAGCAGATCCTGTCGTCTAAGGCAGAGGGGAGGCCTGGTCAGCACAGGTCCTGGGCAGCCACCCCAGGTACACATCCTGTGACAGCCCACCCCAACCCAGGGGCCACCTTCAGTGCCCCTGAGCTCCCGGACCTGACCGCCCCCAAACTCTGCAGTCCTGTGTGCGAACTACAACCACAGCATACCCCGCCGTTACACTAACAACACTTCTGTCATTACAAAACCTGTGTATGAGCACTGTGTAAAACCCGAAGAGCACAGAAAAGTCAAAAACGTACATATTCACAGACGGTACAACTAGTGCTCCCACCACGGCGGCCTTTTGGTCACGCAGACGTTTACACACAGAGAGCTTTGCAAACAGGATACTGTTTTGTAACCTGAATCCTCACTTAATAAACCATGACCATTTTTCTGGTTCAATAAAGACTTTCCCACCATGTGATACACTGGCTTAATAATAATCGCAGTGACAGTATAGCTGTCAGCATGGGTCTAGCGCTGTGCTAAGGGTTTTGCAGGCAACACCTCTACAGTTTGCAGAATAATCCCATGAGGAGGAAACTGCGGTCAGAGAGATTAAAGAACTAGTCTGTGGTGACACAACTGTGCCCACATGGACACCGCCTGACCCCTCACCTGCCAACTACTTAACATAATGGAGGGCATCTCACAGTGCTCCAGAGGTGGCCTCCCCGGCATGCTCACTGCATCTCTGCTGCATGCTCTAGCCCAGGCTGAGGCTTGTCCCTATGCCAATGCCTCCTCACCCTTCACAGCTCGGCATTCCTGGGCTCCTCTCCAGGCCTGCCCAGTGGATTCTAAGGGTGAGCCCAACTTTCTAAAATGCTTGAAAGCTGACCCGTTCTGTTCATCTTGGCTTGTGCCTGGCAGCGAGCAGGGGTAAACAGGTTTTTGTGGGATAACAGAATGTATTTGGAATCTCTCTGCTGATGATGAAATTACTGGTTTGTTGTTATTGTTTCTTGTCATTGTCCCCCTTCCCTGATAAGACCACAGACTCCCCAGGAGGTGGGACCACCCTCTACTTCAGGGCACAGGGGCCAGGAAAGGCTGAGCATTAGTGGGCAGGGGCAGTCTGCCACCCACAGGCTTGGAAACCAAACCAAAAGTAAACAGAGCAAAGCAGCCTGTCTCCAGCTTCTAGCTACTTGGCTGGCTAGGAGGTCAGTACATTAAATCAAGGTAGATCCAGCCTCATTTATCTCATAAAAACAAATGCCAAGAATTACACAGTCATATAAAAGTGCTTTTATCTCCCTCCTCATCCTCATTCCCATCCCCCTACTCCCATCCTCACAGTCTAAACTCCAAACAGACGAAGGGCAGTTTCTCTGGAGCACTGGGATGGTGGTCTGCAGCCAGTGCTTCCCAAGCCCCTGGCAGACAGTGACTTGCAGGCCATCTGCACAGAGACCCATTCGATCCGCAGTGGACCCTGACAGTGTCCAGAAACAGAGGCCCCAAGGTCACACAGCAGTCACCAGCAGAGCCAGGTTCACCTGGCAGCCCAGGAGAGGGGAAGTTAGGAAGGTCAGGGTAGGGAGGGAGGGGAGCTGGTGCTCAGCTGAAAACCATTTTCCAAACAAGGCCCCAGGCAGGGTGGGAATACTGTAAGCACTGGCAGGCCCCCCATGGCTATCAAGGGAGCAAGCAGTCTATGCAAAAGGCTCCTTGCTGCAAACACACACAGCTCCTACAACCCAGCTCCAAAGGATACGGTGCTCAGGCCTGAACACGCTGCTGAAGGGTTCTGCCATGGGCAGGTTTCAGGCAGGCACTGGCTCACCAGCCTGGGCTCCACCCTTGGCATCTCCTCCCACAGGAAATTTGGAGGCTGCTGGGGTCAAAGAGGCCATCTCCCCTAAGAGGTTCCAGACTCCCTCTGGCCCCCAGAGTTTTTAGAGCAAGTGAATCAGCTTGGCTTTCAGATTTCAATGCCCTCCTCAACTGTCCATCCCCAACTCAGCCCATCCAAGCTTTTACATAATGTCACTAGTGGCCAGCAGTCAATGTCTCAATAAACTGCATCTGTTCCATGCCAGACACTGTTCCACACAGTTACACAGTAACTCGTTTACCCTCCTAAGAACCCCGCAAGGAAGCACTCCTGTCCCCTGAGAATTTTACAGATGAGGAAACTAAGGCACAGAAGTGGCACTCCCTGCATAAGAGTTCCACAGTGAGCCAGTGGTACATACCCAGACCATCTGATTCCCAGGCCCCTGCTGTTGACCATGGTCTTCCTCATAGAAAATGTGCCCACTGAGCTCCCTGGCTCAAGGGGTTCCTAACAGTGTGCTACTCTGCTCTGTGGCAAACCTCAAAACAACAGCAGCATCAACACACAGCGTCAACTCAGGCCATACAGAACAATTATAAAGGATAAAAACCACACGATCATCTCAACGGGTGCAGAAAGAGCATTTGACAAAATCTAACACCCTTTCATGACAAAAACACTCCACAAACTAGGAACATAAGGAAGCTTCCTCAACCTTCTAGAAAAACCCAGTCTCCCCCATGAAAGACCAGACACTTCCCCTAAGATCAGGAACAAGATAAGGAGGTCTGCTCTGACCACTTCTATTTAACACTGTACTGGAGGTTCTAGACATGGCCATTAGACAAGAAAAATGAAACAGAAAGCATCCAGAGTGGAAGGAAAGAAGTGAAACCATCTCTATTTGCAGATAATAGGATCCTGTAAATAGAAAATCCCAAGGAATGCACATATAAAAAAAACCCTCCCAAACCATTAGAGCTAATACATGAGTTTAGCAAGGTTGCAGGATACAAGATCAATATATGAAAAGCAACTGTACTTTTTAAATTAAAAAAAATTATATATATGTATTTTAGACAGAGTCTCACTCTGTTGCCAGGCTAGAGCGCAGTGGTACGATCACGGCTCACTGCAGCCTCAACCTCCCAGACTCAAGGGATCCTCCCCGCTCAGCCTTCTAAGTAACTGGGACTACAGGCATGCATTACCATGCCCAAGTAATTGGTAGCGATGGGGTCTCACTATGTTGCCCAGGCTTGTCTCAAACTCCTAGGCTCAAGTGATCTTCCCTCCTCAGCCTCGAAAACACAAATCGAAACCACAATGAGACACCACTTTACACCAACCAAGATAACTATAATGAAAGAGACAGACAATAAGAGGCGTTGTTGAGGGTATGGGAAAGTTCAAACCCTCATCCAGTACTGGGATTACAGGTGTAAGCTACCATGCCTGGACTCAACTGTATTCCTATACCCCAGCAGTGAACAACCCAAATGCGAAGTTAAGAGAACAATTCCATTTATAAAAGCATCCAAACAAAATAAACTTAATATATAAGCGTAAGACTTCAACACTGTGAACTACAAAATATCATTGAAAGAAATTAAAGAAGACTTCAATAAACGGAAAGACACACAGTGTTCTTTAACCAGAGATTTAATATTGTTAAGTTGGCAATACACACAAATTGAGCTACAGACTCAGTGTGATAGCCACCAAAACTGCAGCTTTTACTTTGCAGGAAATGACAAGCTGATCCTCAAATTCCTATGAAAATGCAAGAGACTCAGAACCACTAAAATATCTGGAAAAAGAAAGAGTTGGAAGACTCACACTTTCTCATTACAAAACTTACTACAAAGCTAGAGACGATGTGGTACTGGCATAAGGACAGACATAAAGATCAATCAAATAGATAGAGAATCTGGAAATAAACTCGTGCATCTATGCTCAACTGATTTTCTACAAGGGTGCAGAGACAATTCAAGGGGTGGAAAGCATATTCGTTTTAACAAATGGTGCTAGGACAACTGAATACTCACATGCAAAAGAATGAAGATGAAACCCTACTTCACATCATATAAAATTAATTCAAAATTCATGGTGATCTCATTATAAGAGCTAAAACTACAAAAACTCTTAGAAGAAAACATAGATGTGACTCTTCATGACTGTGCATTAGGCAATGGCTTCTTAGATAGGACACCATCTAAGCAAAAGCAGCCCAGGGAAAAATGGAATAAATTGGGCATCATCAAAATTTAAAATTTTTTGCTTCAAAGAGTACTACAAAAAAATGAATCCTCAGAAAATGGGGCGAAGAAAAAAAAAGAAAATGCAAAGACAACCCAGAGAATGGGGGGAAATATTTGCAAATCATGAGAAGGATCTAGTATTCAAAATATATAAAACACTATTAACAGCTAAACAATAAAAAGATATCTTTATTTAAAAATGAGCAAAGGATGTGAATAGAAAGTTCTCAAAATAAGATATATAAATGGCCAGTAAGCACATTATTAGCCATTGGGGAAACGCAAATCAAAACCACAATGAGACACCACTTTACACCTACCAAGATAACTGTAACAAAAGAGATAGACAATAAGAAGTGTTGTTGAGGGTATGGGAAAGTTCAAACCCTCATACATTGCTGGTGGGAATAGAGAAACAGTACAGCTTGGGAAACAGCCTGGTGGTTTTTCAAACAATTAAACAGAGTGGCCATATGATCCGGCAACTCCACTTCTTATATCCAAGAGAATGGAAACATAAGTCCATACAAGATCCTATGAATGGTTCACAGCAGCATTACTCAACAGTCCAAAAGGGGAAACAATCCAGAAGCCTATCAACTGCAGAAGAAATAAACAAAATGTGGTCTACCCATAGAGTGGAATATTATTCAGCCATGAAAAAGAACAAAGTATTGAGACAAGCTACAACATGGAGGAACCCTGAAAACACCGTACTAAGTGGAAGAAGCCAGGCACAAAAGACCACATATTGTAGGATCCCATTTACCTGAAATGTCCAGAACAGGCAAATCCAGAGACAAAAAAGAGATCAATGGTTAATAAGAGCTGGAGAAGGAAGGAACTGGGAGTGACTACAGATGGGTACATTTCTTTGGGGGTGATGAAAATGTTCTAGAGTTAGTAGTGATGGTTGCACAATTTTGTGAATATAATCAAAACTACAGAACT